TTTGCGAAATTAGCAGTCACTTTGAGCAACAAATATTTAGATTTATGTTTTAACTCCATAGTTTTATCATTTTTGATATACTAATTATTAATAATTATTGTCACTATTATTATCATTATCTATTTTTAACTCTCTTTTTCCTCCATTGATATTGCTTTAGATTCCTCCATTGATATTGCTTTAGATTCCTCCAATAGTCTATCATTCAACTAAGCAGTTCTTGCGTTATCTCTCTCTATTCCTTTCTTCGTTTTGGCTCTTGTCCCTCCTCTTAGCAGCTGCTGGTTTATTGTTCCCTTATTCCGGAGCAGAGCCAGTCAGACCAAAGAGGTTCTACCTGCAGCACAGTCACATTAATAATCATGAAGAACCTGGGGCTTCATTCTCTAGAATATACATACATACCTTTGACTATAGGTTAGTATATGGGCTCCGAAATCACCCCAAATTTTTATTACATTTTCTGATACATATTGATGTCCTTATGCTGTGTAGCAAGTTTGAGCTGATTCCGACTTCAATTTTTCAAGTTACGGCCATTTTAAGAAAATGGCAAAAAACTGAAAAATACCCAAGGCTATAGTCCATGGTTTTTTCCAAAAAATGGCTCCGAAATCACCCCAACTTTTTATTACATTTTCTGATACATATTAATGTCCTTATGCTGTGTAGCAAGTTTGAGCTGATTCCGACTTCAATTTTTCAAGTTACGGCCATTTTAAGAAAATGGCAAAAAACTGAAAAATACCCAAGGCTATAGTCCATGGTTTTTTCCAAAAAATGGCTCCGAAATCACCCCAACTTTTTATTACATTTTCTGATACATATTGATGTGCTTATGCTGTGTAGAAAGTTTGAGTTGATTCTGACTTCAATTTTTTAGTTATGGCCATTTTATGAAAACGGCAAAAAACTGAAAAATACCCAAGGCTATAGCCCATGGTTTTTTCCAAAAAATGGCTCTGAAATCACCTCAACTTTTTATTACATTTTCTGATACATATTGATGTCCTTATGCTGAGTAGCAAGTTTGAGCTGATTCCGACTTCAATTTTTCAAGTTACAGCCATTATTGTTATTATCATATTACAGGGAAATGGCTCCATTGTTAGATTATGTTCCTAAACTAAAAGAAGCCAAAGAAATTCAGTGCAAGGGAGTTTACTGTGGAATGCATCATACTTTCCGATATCTCACATGCTAAAGTAACTACACCCTTCATTAATTATTATCATTATTATTATTAGGAGGAATTGGTTCCTTCCAGCAGGGCCTCCTCCTGGTGCCTCCTCTAAACTGGTTCTTGAAAGTGTCAAGAAAACCTCATCCAATTCAAGAAACTACACCTTCATTGGACGCTGTAAGAACATTATTAAACTTATTGAACCTTGTACCTAATCTCTTCCTCTCCCTCCCTCCCTCCCCCCCTCTTTCTCTCTCTCTCTCCCTCTCCCCCAGTTCCTCCTAATGCTAGACTCCACCTTCAGCCATTACCAGGTTATTCTCTTCTCTCCTGGTCTCTTGAGTCATTCATTCCTCCAGTGACTCCTTATGGTGATGAGGGATTAGGTTGCTATTACATTATGTACACTAGAGGGAATGGAGGGGGAGAGACTAAACTGTGGATTGAAGTGAAGGTAATAAGAGAAACAGTGAAGTGTGTGTATAGCAACTAATGGAGTATCAACAATCAACTCTTATACCTGAATCAACTGATGTATATGTTCAAGCAGTGTTGATACAATAATAGTTAATGATAGATAAACACTACATTAATGGGAATTTTTGAGGAGGGAAATTTTGATAAATTTATTGTTTTGATAACCACTTGTCCTGCCGTATTGCAGTCTATGGCTACAAATTTGACAAATTAAAATCTACCGATCACCAAAAATTAGGAATTTGCCCAATTTTACCTCCTACAAAATACCAGTTATACAGTTTATCGGTTTTGATATTTTTCATTATTATTAAAATTATTATTATTCTTTTTTAGGGTGATATTGATGTAAGTCCAGTGTTAGAAGTATCCCTAATATCAGTGTATATCAACCCTCCTTCATCAACCAGTGATGAGTTACAGCAGTTATTATCATTATTACCATCATGGGTCTCTACTATCAGCTGGACTTCAGTAATGGACAATGTGACATTCTAATATACTATTAATATACTGATAATATACTGTTAATATACTGATATACTCTCTGCTTATAGTAATTCCTATATATTTGTATTTTGTATTATTGAAGTATTAGAATTTAGACAGTTAAACAACTTCTGTTGAGTATAAGCTTTATCAATACATTTTTTGTAAAATAACATTGTGAATTTAGCTGACTACAGAAGTGGTATCAGCAAAGTTTTTGACTTAACGTTACACGAAGTTAAAGAGTTGTATCAGCTCCTTTCTCCCCTCCAACAGTTGGATTATTTAAACCTGCATTTATAGCAGTGGTCTTTCCTTTTACTATAAAAAAGATGATTATTATGAAAACTATTAAAACATGTTGTAGTTGATACCTCCAGCATCATCAGTACAGTCAAACCTATCTAAACGGTCACTGCTTAAAACAGCCAGCTACTTTAAAACGGTCACTATTTAATGTCCCAATTTTTTGGACAATGACTGTAATACTAAACTTACCTGTCCCAGCGGTCTCTCTGTAAAGATGGTTAACGGTCACCGACAGAATTAATCTCCATCAAGACTGATAAAGACCACCACTGTGTACAGGCGGCCAGATAGCCACGCCTATATTACCACGCCCATTTTGAATTAATTTTTACATCATTAATAATGATTAATTTTTGTTAAATTGTTATCTCAAGTAATACCTTCGAAATAATACTATATACCACTCAGTTTAGGTCTTTAGGGGTACCTAAAAGTTCTTTAAGTCTTGTTATATAGTTTCTATGGCCAGTAAATGTGTACAAAATAATTTAAACTGTAATTAAAGGCATTTCTATAAAAAGGCCACCTGCATAAGACAGCCACTAAATGCATGTCCCAAGGTGACCGTTTTAGACAGGTTTGACTGTACAGCAATCGTGGCAGAAGAAAAGCAACCAAAAGCTACTCCTCCAAATCCTGGGACAGCACCACTGTCTCTTCCAACATATCCTCAGTAATATCCAACAAACAGACAATATTATTAACAGCCGAACTGCACCCTCCCTAAACCGGAAGAATTTTCTTTGCAACCGGAAAAGGTGTTACCCAAGAAAATGGCTGAACTTAGGTTGTACTTTGTTTTTAGCTGGAAATCTTTACTGGACCACTATTAAAGCTACTTTATGCTATCATTTTGATTACTTCAAGATCATAAATAAAATACTTTTAATGGAGAGTCAAAGTTCTATGTTCTATGGCAATAAAAGGACCATGTGTGATATTGCTAAATGGAAAGGAAAAGCAAGAAAGCTATTATTTCTATACCCGTAAGTGGGACAATGAATGTTTAGTTTTATGGTGTTATAATGATGGTTGTGGGACACAATGAACATGATAAAATGAATTATATGGCTAAGTACCAAGTTTGTAGTACAAATGAAAATTACAGTATTACGTTAGCTATCACTTGTCATGTATTAGTAGTCCATGTTGTTTAACCATGGGCCACAGTATGATGCAAATGTGTTGCTAGACTTATTCTCTACATTTGCTGATGGTGTAAACTGTACATTGTTGTTTGTGTTGTGTTTATTTGACCTTCAAAGTTATCACCAAAATTATTTTGTGATATAACTTATGTCAGGGCAGTGGTGGGTAAATCATGTCCT